CCCTTTTCTATAACTATGGTTAAAATGGAAAAGTTTATTGAAACTATTATATTCTTGAAAGTTTGGGCAAGTTTACAACCCATAGAATGTACAGAATATTCTGCTGTAGGGTAAATAAGCATTTCATATATTGTATCTTAATAATTAAGGTTTGAGGCTTATCTTATATGAACTGTAGGAAAAATAGAATAATGTATAATTTATAAATCAACCATAATTGGGGACAGTATTATATAGATAGTCCCTCAGTTTAGGATGGTTCAGCTTAAGAGTTTTTTGTTTTGGCGACCAGCAGTTGGCATAATGGCTATATCACTAGACTCCCATGTAGTCGACTGTGGTTCAAGTCCCGGACCTGGTGGCTTAAACTCACACTGGGCACATGTGCGTGCATGCCCAAGATCCCCGGAGGAGAATGGAGGAGAAGGGATTGCAGTGCGGCCATCCTCCCTGGGGGAGTGATTTCTTGCTTTGTGTCTCTCTGTCTCTCTCTGTGTTCCTGGCGAGCACACATGCCCTATAGCAAAAACCTCTCAAAAAAAATTTTTTTTTTTATTGTGGTGTAAAAGTAATATGCATTTGGTAGCAATTGTGCTTTGAGTACCTATACAGCCCTCTTTTTCACTTTTAGTACAGTATTCAGTAGCTTTATGAGCTATTCAAAACGGTATTAGAAAATAGGCTTTGTTAGATGGTTTTGCCCAGCTATAGGCTTCTGTAAGCATTCTGGGCATGTTTAAGGTAGGGTAGGCTAATTTGTGACATTTGATAGGTTAGGTGTATTCAGTGCACTTTTTTTTTCCTGCTATAAGGCATGTGCATTCATTGGAGAGAAAAAGAGAGAGAAAGTGAGAAAGCACTCCCTGGTGTGGATGGCCACTCCACAATTCCTTTTCCATTTTCCTGTCTGGATTTTGGGCACGCTCTCATGTGCATAGTGTGTTCTAGCTGCTGTTAACTTGGTGTGTGGAATTTAGTGGACCATGTGGGATTCAGTTGCCTTCACCACCACACTACCACACTTAAATACCTTTTGACTTAGGATATTTTCTTTTTAACAAATTCTTTTTTTTTATGATTATTCATTTTATTATATATCTATCTATATCTGTATATATACATGTACACATATGTACATAAATATAACATATATGCATTTTCATCAATTTTTTAATCTTCTTTTACATTAATTTGTGATTTTTCAAGCCGCTGGGCTCAGAACTTAAACCACAGTTATCCATATGGGAATCCAGTGCCTTGACCACCACACTACCTACTTGCCCCTCATTTTATTTTTTTTTTTTGATTTGCTATAGGGCACGCAAGAACACCAGAGAGACAGAGAGAGAGTTAAGAAGCAAGCTGCCAGGTCCAGGACTTGAACGCCAGTCAGCCATGTGGGAGTCCAGTGCCTCAACCGCTATGCCACCTGCTGGTCCCAATTGAGGATATTTTGAACATATGTTGTATGTAATTATCAGGCTGTAACCCCACCGCAAGACAAGGAACATATGTACAATATTTGAAAAAATAAGTATTTTTATTTATTTTAAAAACAATTCATCAGTCAAATGTCCAAAACTACCAACCTCAAAGTATCTGACATTAAGGTAGCATGGTCGTAAAGGCCATTGGATTCCTATATAGCTGACCACAGTTCAAGTAGTTCAAGTCCTGGGCTTGGTAGTTTGCCTTCTCACTTTACATCTCTCTTGCTCTGTACCTCTCTGGTCAAATTAAAATAAATAAATAAAATAATTATTTAATTTTTTTTTGGAGGTCCCTTTTTTTTTGCTACAGGGCCCGTGCGTTCGCCAGACAGAGACAGCAACAGAAAGACAGAAAGCGAGAAATCATCCCCCAGAGGTTTGGCCATGCCACAATCCCTTCTCCTCCAGTCTCCTCTCGGAATCCTGGGCACACACGCACACGCACCCAGCATGAGTTGAAGCCACTGGGTCCCGGACGCGAACTGCGGTCCGACTACATGGGAGTCCAGCGACATAGCCATTAGGCTAACTGCTGGTCCCAATAACTATTTTTTAAAAAGTATCTGGTATTAGGTTAGCATGGTTCCTTCCTAGTGTGTGTGTAAGTTTTTACCAATACTATGGTAGATGTGCTTGCTTAATATCACTGACTTAAGCCTTTGAAACAGTGGGTTGTGGGGTAGGTGGGCGAGTGTGGCAGGTATGGCAAACCAAAGCACTGGGAGGGATTGTGTTCTCTGGGCTCTGGTGGTGTCTGCCCGGCAGTGCAGTAGTCTCATCTGCTGAGTGGGTGGAGCAGGCCCTTCTAGCCGATAGCTGGGAGAGGACATGAAGGGTGACTGCGGGAGCAGTTCCAGCTGCTGCTCTTCAGGAAGTCTCATATTTGTAGGGCCTTTGCTTCCCTCTAATCGTTGCCCTTGTCCTTTCTTAGGTTTAGATGCCCATGCCATTCTCAAACTGGTAGATTTTGCTTCTTAGGAACATGATTTTCAACTGTTGTCTCTTTTCCTATTCAAACTCAGAGACGTAACATTGTATCTGTGGTGAAAAGTCTTCTTTTTTGTCTTCCAGTAAAGAAGATATGTTTTTTTCCAAAAACGTTCTATTTAAAGAAATAATAACACTGAGTAAGAACTTGCTGTCAGACTGAGATAAACACATTTTTGTTAATAGTCTTGAGCATTTTTTTGGTTACTTAAAGTCCTTTTTTGTATTCTTCAATTATTTTGATTAAAGCTACCATGTAAATGACTTACTTGTTGATGCTTGTCTAATATTATAGGCGCTGTTCTCTATTTTTTCTATGTATATTTAACAAAGTAAGGGAAGAGAATGAAATAGTAAACTAGCCAAAAACACAAAAATACACTTACTTGGAGTTTCCAGTATTGGAAGTGGAAAAGACGGGGTTGTATTATTGAAGATTGGAATCTCATCTGTTTCATATCAAGAAGGGAATTGTGTTTTGATAGAGGAGATAAAACATTGAAAAGTAGGTGATCAGATTAAAGTATGTTCCCAGGTAGTAAGTGATAGAAGAATGGTATTGGAGGTTTCTGCTCCTAAGTGACCCGCTGTACAGTATCAAGTTGCAGCCAGCTTCCCCAAAGGGAAAATGTGGAAATTCTATTTCTGGAGAGATTGCCAGTTTCCATATTTCTGGTGGCATAAAATCTTTAGCTTGAATGAAAGAGAAAAAGGCATCTCTTTCCTGGTTTTTTAAAAATTTAGTTAGTATATAATCATTACTTGTGTGAAATCCTGAAATCAGGTGAACTTCTTGATTGACTTCGTATGTATGTTTTCTCTTCTGCCTAGATACACTTTACATTGAAGAGGAAATAATCCAGGGAAAGGAAGAGCAAGCAGGTCAAGATGTGTAGCTCTGTGGCTGCCAGGTTGTGGTTTCTGACAGATCGTCGCATCAGGGAAGATTATCCCCAGAAAGAGATCTTACGAGCGTTGAAGGCCAAGTGTTGTGAGGAGGAACTGGACTTCAGGGCTGTGCTGATGGATGAGGTGGTGCTGACAGTTGAGCAAGGAAACCTGGGTAAGTCTGTACTAAGTGATTATTTCGGATTTTTACTTTGAATGTGGTGAATCTGCATGTTTTAGACATAATTGGGAAAAAGGAGTCATTAATATCTATATTAGTAAGTATCATCTAATCATAAATTCTGGTGTTAAGTTTAATAGAGGGAATAGAAACTTTAGTGTTTATTGATCTCTTTATAGTATTATTTAGTAAACAGTTGGGAGGAAAATGAAAGATTTTCTATTTTTTAAAAATAGTTATTTTATTTAACTTTATTTATTTATTTATAATTTGACCAGAGAGGGACAGAGTGAGAGAAAGAGAGAAGGAGAAAGAAGCCACCAGCTCCAGGACTCGAACCTTGGTCGGCCATGTGAGAGTCCAGTGCCCTTAGCAACCATGCCACCTGCTGGCCTCAGATGATTTTCTAGTTTTATTTATTTATTTTGTTAAAATAATTATTTTAATTTTATTTATTATTGATTGTGATTTTTTTGGGGGGGAGAGGTTTTTGCTATAGGGCGCGTGCACTCGCCAGAAAGACAGAGAGAGACAGGGAGACAGAAAGTGAGAAATCACTCCCCAGGGAGGATGGCCACGCCGCGATCCCTTCTCCATTCTCTTCTCAGGATCTTGGGCGCGCATGCACATGTGCCCGGTGTGAGTTTAAGCCACCGGGTCCAGGACTCAAACCGTGGTTTGCTGTATGGGAGTACAGCGACATAGCCATTACGCTAACTGCTGGTCCTGTGATTTTATTTTTAAGAGAGATTTTTTCCTATAGGGTGTGTGTGCTTGCTGGAAAGGCAGAGAGACAGAGAGAGAGAAAGCGAGAGATCACCCAAAAGGAATGGCCATGCCACAATCTCTTCTCCTCCATTCTCCTTGGGATCTTGGGCACACATACACACATGCCCAGCATGAGTTTAAGCTGTTGGATCTGGGGCTCAAACTGCAGTTAATTGTGGGAGTCCAGAGATCTAGCCATTATGCCATCTGCTGGTCCCTATTAATATTATTTTTGAGTTTGACCAGAGAGATACCAAGAGGGAGAGAGAGAGAAATTTGAGAAAGCACGCCATCAGGTCCAGGACTCAAACTGCAGTTGGCCATGTGGTAGTCTACCACCTTAACAACCACAACACTTGCTGGCCCTATTTATTTATTATTTAGTTTTACTTGCCAGAGAGTGTGTGCACTCAGAGGCAGAAGGAGAAGGAAAGCACACTTCCCCACTCTTCAAAGGGGGCATGAGCATGCTTGTAATCCCTTCGTTTTTCTGTCCTGCTGGGACTTTGGGTGTACATGTATATGTGCCTGGCATGTTTTCCAGCTGACTAAGGCAGAGATTTTAACCCTTGTTGGCCATACGGGATACAGCACTCTTAACCACTAGGCTCTGGGGCTCGCCCTAATTTTTTTGGTTTTCCGAGAGATTTTTGCTATAGGACATATGCAACTCGCTGGAAACACGGAGAGAGACAGAAAGTGAGAAATCACCCTCTGTGGGGGGTGGCCACACCACAACCCTTTCTCCATCCTCTTGGGATTTTGGACATGCATGTACATGCACTGGGCCTGAGTTTCAAGCTGCCACGTTTGGAACTTGCTCCATGGTCGAGTCCATGCGGGAGTCCAGTGCCTTAACCACTACACCATCTTTTGGCCCCCTGGCCCTCATTTTTACTGTCTTCTAGCTTTTGTTTTCTTTTTTGCCAGAGAGCACAAGTGTGTTCATGTGAGAGAGTGTGCACATGTGTGCGTCCCCTTGTGGAGGCTGACCATGCTGAAGTCCTTTTTTTCCTCCATTTCTACATCTTGTCAGGATTCTGGACATTGTACATTTATACCTGGTGTGTTTTTCAAGCAACCAGGCCAGTATTTTAACTATAATAGGTCATGTGGGACCTGAGCCCCTGTCCATAGGTCTTAACTACTGTACTATGGGGCCAATCCACTGTGTTTTAGTTTAAAAATACCTTGTTCACGGGGCCAGCAAATGGTGTGATGGTTAAGGTGCTCGACTCTCAGATGGCCAACCACAGTTAGAGTTCTGGATCTGGAGGCCTGAAAATCAGGCCAGGTGTGTGTGCTTGTGTACCCCAAATCCCAAGGGGAGAATGGGGAAGGGATTGTGGTGTGGCCAATGTGATTTCTCACTCTTTTTCTCTGTTGAGTACATATGCCCTGTGGCAAAAAATCTTAAAAAAAAAAGACAACAAAGTTGTTTATAGGGTGCTTCTAAGGGAATTTATATACCTTATGGTGAGTTCTGTTAATAAATTAGTCAAAATATAAGTGCAATTTTAAGTTTTTTATTTTATGTATTTATTTATTTTAACTCAACTAGAGAAAGTAAGAAAGCAAGCCACCAGATCCAGGACTTGAACTGTGGTGGCCCATGTGGGAATATCTAGAGCCTTAACCATCATGCCACCTGCTACGCCTGCGTGAATTTAATTTTAATTTTATTTTTTTAGAGGCAGATTTGTGCTTGCTGGGGAGACCTAGAGAGAAAGCAAGAAGTCACCCCCTGGTGGGAGAAAGCAAGAAATCCCCCCACACGCACCCCTGCAGGATGGCCATTCTGCAGTTAGCCACCACACCACCTATTGACCTCAAAACTAATTAGGTTTTGGGAACCAGCAGTTAGCGTAATGGCTATGTCACTGGACTCCCACGTAGTCGACCGTGGTTCGTGTCCCGGACCCGGTGGCTTAAAACTCACGCCGGGCACGTGTGCGTGCGTGCCCAAGATCCCGAGAGGAGAATGGAGGAGAAGGGACTGCGGCGTGACCATCCCCCCTGGGGGGTGATTTCTCGCTTT